AAGGGGGTTGTTCAGCGGCAGAGGCTCTCACAGCACACACTGTAGGTTAATTTAGTTAAACATAAGATCAGTATAATTTAAATGTTGAAAAGCAACAAAATATAAATGATCTGGCTTTGCCCTTAGTAACCAGCGGGGTTTGCCATAAATCTACATGCTGACATCAGGCTGCAGCAAAAATCCACATTGCCACTGCCACCATAACCTATTAATTCGTTATATGTACCATTCAAGTTTCACAAATCATTAAGTAATAGTTTAAAACATGAATTAAAGAATATAAAGAAGGACGTTATAATGCATGTGTAATAGGTTTCGATGTACAAGACCAGAATTCATTCCCTCTTTGCCCATGGCCTTGTATAGCCCTGGGCAAGTAGCTTTTTCTTTAACCTCAGTTCTTTAAATTCTAAAATTGAAAACTTAATTATTGATGTCCCAGGATGGTTGTGAGAGTAAAACACATCATTTATATAGAAATTGGCAGATAAATGCTCCGTAAGTTATTAATAATGTTCAAGTATTAATTTCCTCTCACAAAATAATAGTGTGCTTGGATTTTAGGTGGGTCACGTTTGATAAATTCATCTTTTTCTTTGTTTTTAGGCAGGTTCCCTTTCAGTTTTGTAGAGATCCCGATTATTTTCACTACTTCCTATTCCATTGTAACAATAGGGCTGCCATGTTAGCCACTGAAGTGTAGAGATTGTTCAAAGTTGCATTTCCTTGCTTTTGAATTATCTAAATCACAGATGGAGGACCTCAGGCCAGGGGATCAAATGCTTCCCTGCAGCACTCCCTGTTTGGCCCTTGGGACTCTCTCCAGAGCATATTTCCTCCCCAGTCACACCCCACTTCCCATGCTATACCGCTTATCAGCCCTGTTGGACTGGAACGTGCCCCTTTGGTTGATAAAAATTATCCATCCTTGATTTAAATTGTTCAAACTGTGAGTCCTACATAAGCTCATTTCTCAAACTGTGTTTTTGATAATGTTGTTTGTATCATGAAAGATTTTTAGGTGAAGTATCCTGCTAAAAGAAAAAGACTATGCACCAAAGCACACACTTTCCTGGCTCAGTTTCTGCTTTTGAATATAAAGCGCAACAGCCATTCAATGACTACATGAAATTCTCTCTTTATTTCCCTTCTGATCACGCTCGATGTGCTTTTTCTTACTGCTATCCTCGTTCTTAACTTTTTTCTCATTCTTTAGTTTGTTCCTAGGGTGGTTTACGTTTGCCATTTTCAGGGTCCTTTAGCCTTTGGTCCACAGTGCCATAACTTATTTTGGAAAGAACTTCAGTCATACACATAGAAAAATCATGCCAGGAATGTATTTAATGTATTTTTAGTGTAACAGCTGAGAAGAAGGAATGGGGGTTGGCTTTTCTGGCTCATAGCTTGGGAACTCCTGGTTCAATCCTTTCTTCAGTGTGTGTCCCTCCCTCCACTTTCCCCCTTCTTTCTTTTTTCCATTCCCTCTTTATTTCTTCTCATAAATCAGTGACCCTCAAAGAGAAGTTTTTCCCCATTTTGAGTTCTGTATAATGCCTAGGATATAAATCTCAGATGGAAGCAGTATCCATGCAATCTGACATGGAGAGTGTAAGTGAGAATTGTTGATTTGCATTCTTCAGACAGGGCTATTGGAAAACAGCGGGTTATCTGGCAGTGGGAGAGTCTGGGTTATATTGTAAAAGCTTGCTTTTGTTGCTGAGTTCTGCAAGAGCCCTTTGCAGAGGAAAGTTCCTCTGTGTTCTGCAGCCAACAGAATTGCTTCTGGTTCTTAGAGCACTTAGGATATTTCTGCATCAGAATGGCTCCTGTTGCAGGGGAACAGCAGTAACTCAGTTTCAGAGCACGTGCTTTTCACTCCAAGTCAGCGTAGATGGTACTGAACTAGATGGAGCAATGTCCACCTTGAGAGACTTTTAGGAAAAATGCAATTAAGAAGTGACATGATAGAAGTTTGTAAAATTGTACATGGCGTTGAGAAAGTGAATAGACTTTCATAATGCTAGAACTCACTGACATCCAATGAAGCTGAATGCTTGAAGATTCAGGACAGATAAAAAAAAAACACTTCTTCGTGCGGCGCGTCGTTAAACGATAGAACTTGCTCCCACAGGAGGCAGTGATGGCCACCAGTCTGAATGGCTTTAAAAGAGGATTGGACAAATTCATGGAGAAGAGGGCTGTGCTCTGCCTCCGCAGATGGAGGCAGTAATACTTCTGAACACCACAGGAGGAAAGAGTGCTCTTGTGTTCAAAGCCTGCTTGTGGGTTTCCCACAAACATCTGGCTGACCACTGTTTTGAGAACAGGATGCTGGACTAGAGGGGCCATTGGTCTGATCTAGCAGGCTCTTCTTACATAGCTGCTATTGCATCTGTGGCTGTGTTGTTTCAATCAATGCCAGAGTTCTGATGGCATTCAGGGGAAGAGTGAGGTAGTCCTACTAAATGAAAAGAAAAGTGGAAGTACAGTGGTACCTCGGGTTACAGATGCTTCAGGTTACAGACTCCGCTAACCCAGAAATAGTACATCGGGTTAAGAACTTTGCTTCAGGATGAGAAATCGTGCGGCGGTGGCAGCGCGGCGGCAGCAGGAGGCCCCATTAATTAAAGTGGTGCTTCAGGTTAAGAACAGTTTCAGGTTAAGAATAGACCTCCAGAACGAATTACGTTCTTAACCTGAGGTACCACTGTATGAGTCCTCCTACTGGACTAGGCATGCAGGGTCTTCAAGGCATTTCTCCCGCTCTCTATACTAACTGGCAGAGCAAAAGCGAATTCCTCAACCCACCCTAAAAAAACCCGATTAGATCCTTCTGAAGACACCACTTGTAAGGACTAAACTGAAGAATCGCAGGAAGAACAGCAGAATTCCACTGCAGAATTAAAGAGTACAAGAAGAGAGAAACAAGAACTCTAAACATTATGTGCAGTATGTAGGATGCTGCCAAAAGCTGTGACTAGCACACCCTAATCCAGAGAGCAGCCACACAGGAAGGAGAGGTGGGCACAATGTGCTCCAACCCCACCTTCAAACAGAAATTCTGTTTTTTGCTGAATAGGTCTGGAGCCTATTCCTAAGGCAGATAGAAGAGACCAGTACCCCCTGTGCCAAGCTGGCTTCCTCTATAAGGTCCTCCTATGGCAAAACCCTCTTGGAGGACTTTCCTGTCAAATGTTGCATCAACTGAGAAAAATTGTCTCTATTTTCTAGTGTTTTACAAAAGTGTGCAGTGAAGCCCAAGTAGTCACCTTGCAGATATACAAAACAGAGGAACCCCTCTTGCAGGCAGTCAGAGTGGCGGCCCTCAACAAATAATGCACAGTTGTTTCCCAGGAGTGCGGAGGAGCAGGGGGCTTACCCAAAGCAACATGCAAGGGAACAGGAAGCCATGAGCTCAAATGGAGCACTGGCCAGGGCAAATAGTACCCCGTTGAGATTCCAAGTGGGGAATCTATGAATGACCTTGGGAGACGAGCCAGCCACAGTTCTATTGGTTCACCTTCATGTGGCAGCGGGGCTGCAGAGGAGGTGGTAGATCCAGACTCTGAGGAGCGTGCAGCAGCTGCTGCTGGCACTGTGGTGGTGGTGGAGGCGGGCAGTGCTTTCCTCGGAGGCTGGATCTGCTGCCCCTGTAGATTCTGCCACCCAAAGTAGTTGCCTCATGTCACCTCATGGGTGGGCTCACGGTTCAAAAGTAAACTTGTAGATCTATTACATTTTTATCTCACCCTTCCCCCAAAGTGTTCAGGGTAGCAAATGTGGTCCACATCCTCCTTCTTAGAAGAGGGAATAGGAAAAACAGTCTAAAGTAAACTTAGAGCAGCCCAGAATGGTTGGGGCAACCCAGTCTGATGAGCAGGGTACAAAAGAATATTATTATCATCATCATCATCATCACCATCATCATTTCCAAAGTATGGTACTTAGACAACCAGTGGTCTGTGACATTCATTTAGCGCAGGATATTACAATCGCTAAACAACAGACAGAAAAATCATTAAGACCTGCAGCAGTTTTCAATTGGTCCAAGGCCATGTGTGTGGAGTTTGTGGACAGCTGGCTTAGATTTTTTATTCTTTTCTAGAATTCTCAAGAAATATGGACTCAGCAGTTATAATGACTAATGCAAAAGGATTACAGATTTGACTGATTTCTGTCGGGAGCACTGGGAAAGCAGAAGGGTTGGGAGAAGGGCAAAGATTCAAAAGAGAGGACAGTGAAAGGCAGGTTACATTAAGATTTGATAGTGGTAGAAAGAATTTTTAACTCCACTCCATTGGTTGGAAGCAGGGAAGATTAATTCAAACGGCAGTATTTTCTATAGCCTGATGTACATAGAACTTACCACTCCAAGCTCAGATATGGTAATTTATAAACAATTGGCATTTACAAATTAATTCTTGGGAAGATTCCATTTGGCTGTCAGTTTCTATAGTCTCTGCCCATTATGTGTGTGTGGGTAGTTAGGCCTAGAATATTTTCCAATATATTTCACATGAGAAATAACATAAATCAAAACAATACCAGTCCAACCCTATAACAACTTAATGCTTGTTGGAAAAGTTCACATTAAATGTGATACAATCCATGCTGCAGAATATCTGGCTCCCTCTGGATTGTTTTATTCAACAGCTAGTTGATTGTTTTCTTCAATTTTCTGGGCTGGCAAACTACTGTTTGCTGACCACGAAATACTAATTGTGTTAGCAGAAAATCTGGTGTGTCCCTCCCCCCTCCAATGAGATTGTTCAAGAGGAGCAGTAAGCAAACTAAATGCATCACTTTAGCCTTAGAGCAGGACTCTGATTTGTCAGTTTAAAAAATGGTTGTGTTTGTACTGCATTTGGCACTCCTTAGAAGCTACAGATCTCTGACATATTAAATATTGCTTGGGACAACTCATAGAATAATAGAATTTGTAGAGCTGGAAGGCACCATGAGGATCAAGTAGCCCAACACTCTGCAATTCAGGAATCTTTTGCCCAATGTGGGGCTTCAACCCACGACCCTGAGATTAAGAGTTTCGTGCTCTACTGTCTCAGCTATCCCAGGCCCTGTTGATGGAGAAACATGGGCAGCAAACTAATAGTTCTGTACGTATCTGACTGTTTTTATGCCTGACTTGCTCTTGCGTCCTTCCTTCATTGCACCTGATCCATGGCAGATGAAAGCTTCTTTCTCATTTTTCTTCCCCATTTATCTGTGTCAAGATTTTCCCAGCTCTGGCTTCTTTTGCTGTGTGGTCAAACCTCTGACTTCACTTGCTGCTGTCTTGTTTGTAGAATAGCTTCCCCTGGCTTCCTAACATACAGTAAGGGGGCTCACAGTGGGATAGCTTTCTTTGAAGCTGAATCCAGAAGCTCAGGTCATTCTGTATGCTGGCTAGAGGGTAGAACAGCCAGGATTACAGCACACCAGAGAAACAAAAGGCTTTTGGATGTCTGCTGCCCCCAAGAAAAACAGTCCTGACCTTTCTTCAGCCTCTGACAGTCATGCTGTTAGAAGCTGCTTTGTTGACTCTTCCCACTGGGTGATAGAACTCCTCGTCTGCATGCAATTAGAGAAGATGCAAAGGCAGCACTGAGCAATAATCGCGCAAACATCAGGAATCTTAAGGCTCTAAATATTGGAGAAGAGCATAAATTCAATTACTTTTTCATTGCACAGTGAACTATAGAACAAGGTGTTTGTAAAGTTAGTATTGCATTGTAAATTTCAAGTAGAAACAGTCTGGCGGGACACATAACATCTACTTCCTTACCTAGTCATAGAAGGCAGATTAAATCTACGTTTCTTTCTTTCTTTTTTTTGCTAGGCTCTGTTTGCTAACTTCCCAACATCTACCATCAGCTCTATGACCCTATCAACTAATTCTGGTGCCCACAGGACATCAAGTGCCATTTCTAGCAGCCAGAAGGTACCGAACCTGAATAAGGTGATGCCATCCCAGAGTGCATCTTCAAACTTGATCCCTAAGCCCCCAGCCAGCCATAGACAAGCAGTTATTAGGAAGGTGGCATCTCAGAGGATTTCCAAGTAAGTTTGTGTTCCTGAAACAGAACTCGCTATTGAAAGATGTTGATGGAGAAACATTGGCAGTAAACTTTTCCTTGGTGGGGGGGGGGGGGGCGGTGTCCTGATTGTTTGATGTAACTGTATTAGATAAATTTTAAGAACTGTTGTTGTTTTTTTCATTTGAGGAAGGTGGGGGAAAGAGTAACCTAAATAAGATGAATTGCTGTACACCAGTGATGACCAAACTTGGCCCTCCAGCTGTTTTGGGACTACAGTTCCTATCATCCCTGACCACTTGTCCTGTTAACTAGGGATGATGGGAGTTGTTGTCCCAAAACAGCTGGAAGGCCAAGTTTGGCCATCACTGCTATACACTACGGCAGCCTTTTTCAACCTTGGGTCCCCAGGTTGTTGGCCTACAACTCCCATCATCCCCGACCCACTGGTCCTACTAGCTAGGGATGATGGGAGTTGTAGTCCAACAACATCTGGGCACCTTGAGAAAGGATTTGCTATGGCATACAGCCAGGGTGGGGAATCTATTTCACCCCAAGGGCTTGATTCACACTTGACCAAGCTTTTGGGAATCACAACATCACAAAACAAACATGCACAAAATAAATTTGCATGCACCAAAAATGCAGAGAGACAGTGCACACACAGAGCAGGCATGCAGGGCCACAGGGCCACGTACACACACCATTTCCAGCCCTCCTCTCCAGGGGTGGAGGTGGCTAGCAAGATCCCTCTGCCTGCTCTTTAGACCAGGGGTCAGCAAACCTTTTTAGGAGGGGGCTGGTTCACCACCTCTCAGACCTTGTGGCGGGCCGAACTGCGCACGTGCACATATGCACGCTGTGGAGGGGGGCTTCTCCCCCCCCCGCTTTCCCACCTCCTCTGCCGCTCTGCCTGCATTTGGGAACCGGCGGTGGTGGTGGCGCCTCTCCTTTCTGGGCCAGCTTTCCCAGGTGCCAGGCACTGGGCCAGCAGGCTCACCAAGCTCCAGCCGAAGCCCCGCAATGCGCCCGTCAAGATGCCCACAGCGCAGCCATGGATGGAGAGGCCGGCGGGATGGTGGCGAGTCTGGGCTGTGCCTCAGCGCGCAGGCAGCGAGGCTTTGAATTGGCTGGCACCAATTAAAGCAAGCTCCCTTTCTCCGCAGTGCGGGAAGAAGCCAGGAGGAGGCGCCGCCATGGTGTGTGGGGGGGGAGGTGCCCCCCCAAAATTGCAAAAAAAAAGGCGCAGCCTGAACGATCATGCTGATCCAAGCGGCGATTCTAGGACCGTCCATGGGCTGGGTCCAGAGGGCAATTGGGCCTGATCCGGCCCACGGGCCTTAGTTTGCCGACCCCTGCTATAGACAGTATCACTAAAGAGCAGACAGGGATTCCCCGCCCTTCCAGCGTTACCACTATGTACCACAGTACTAAGTCTGGAGGTAGAGTAAAACTCAGCCTTGCTTCCTAGCCCCACTCCAACGTTGGAGTGGGAATAGGCAGAAATTCTGTTTTTTTAATATTAAAGAGCAGTCAGACCACTTATCTGCAATTTTAGCTCTATGGTGCTTAGTGCTAAAATCGGAAATAAGAAATCTGCCTGCCTGCTCTTTATTTCCAATCTCCATATGATTAGTAGGTGTGCAGGACACAGTGGGACAGACATGGCAGGCTGTCAAAAGTTCCCCACTTCTAGCATTCATCCTGCTAGGACCTCATTGCACACTTCACTTTCTGTACATTTTCTTTGTCATGGATTTCTAATACATTAATTTTGAGCCAACAAAACTTTGCATTTCTGTATTGTGATGTATGCTTGTTCTGATCTTTATCTGTGTTTGAAAAAATAATGTGTAATTTAGCCATTATCCTGTATCACTCTTACTTGTATTTAATGCTACAAAGAAAGCTTTAAAAACAAATTATCTTAAATACATATAGAAGTGTATTCTTATCTCCCTGTACTGGTGATATGTTTTATTTCCTGCAGTGTGATAGACTGCTTTTGTAACTTCTGTAGACTCCTAACAAAAACCTTAACTGTTGATGTTTTAAATGTGAGAACAATTTCATATTGTATTGTCCTCAGTTTTTAGTTTCAGTATAGTTTCTGGAGAGGTATTGAAATCATTGTTGCTTGTAAACTTGTCATCTTTCTATTTTTATGGAGGTCATTAAGTTGGAGTCTGACTTATCTTTCCTTGACCATTTTGTTATTTTGTGCTCCATCATGCTGCTTCTTGCTTGTCTCTTTCCTAGACTAAACAATCTCATTAATTCATTATTCTCAGTCTCATTATGCAGAAGCCTCTCCAAGCTCCTCGTAAATTATATTATCTATCTTTGGAGATATTGAGTTGCATTATAAATCTTTATTGTTGTAAATTGTGATGTTTGCTTTGCTTCCCCCAGGACTAGGCAGACTTCACATCAGGTGAAATATGCGTAGCTGCAGTGATGGATGCATCAGTGTGCAGCATCCTATGAAGTAATAATGACCCATAGGGATGGAAGGACCATCCTGTTAAAGGGCTTCTTTAATCCTTAGGATGGTGCCTCCTCTGGAGCATATAAACACAGCCAGAAGGAGGAGCCACCAACGTTTCCTGACCAGCAATGTCTCACATGTCTATCAGCCAGGCCAAAATCTGTATTAAGAGCCCAACTCCTTAGTATAACCATTCTCCAGTGGTTTTTAAATTGTATGAATTTCCCTAAAATGCACAGTTGTATACACTTTGTATATCAGCATTTTTTGAACTTAAACTGCATTGCAGAAAGTGGCACAACACACCATCTGCTTAATAACTACATTCTGGTCTTCTTAAAGACAGAGTTTTGAATTTGTTTGATCTGATGGTGGACCAAAGAAAATCCTTCTCCACCCCTGCTGCCTGTTATGGTTGTTTGGAAACTTCTAGCACTTAAACATACCAATATTTGGTAGCCTGGTGTATCTAAGCCTCCACCCCAACCACACACAATGTAAGTGTGTGTCTGCATGGCTTCTCTTGTAACAAGGTGTCTATGTAGCACAGATGTTGTTTGAAAAATACAAGAGAATAGGGGGGAATTCCCAACAATGAACAGGTATGGCCACTGCCTCTTCTGTTTCATAGAAGAGTGTAAGATGGAGAACTGTGTTCACTGCCAAACATTGCAAATGATTCCTACGTGCGAACGTACTGTGAGTACGAACAAGAGCCCAAAATTCCTTCCCTGACCATCCAACTCTGAGATTAGTGCACTGCACAGAGCAGTGTCATTGTTCCTTTCTTTCTGGTTACAGGTTTTTAGATGATTGTTCGATTAGAAGGATTGCCCCTTCAATTTTTATACATTAACTTTCTTTTCACCTACCATGAGCCTCTGAGATAAGATGGACTACTAATTGAAATATTTTTGAGACTAATCCTCCAGACACGTTTTAAAATGGGATCCAGGTGTTAATTAAATTGGTCAGTTCAACTAGTACAGATAGCCATACCTGTTTCGATAGTCCTGTGCTGATAACAGCTTTTGTTTGACTCTCCCGTCCTGGGGGTGATGCATGTTAGTTCAGGTGACAAGCCTCTTCAGTGAGCTTGTCTGCCAAGCAGCAAGATGTGTGTTTGAAGATGCCGGTGTGCTGTACTCACATATTGGCAGGGAGAATGTTTATCCTTGTGAGATGGAATTGCAGCTCCTTGGACAGACTTGACTTTACTGCGTTCTTGTGGTTTCTGCTCTGTGACAGGCATAAGTGTGGGAAAACCGGAAAAAGCTCAGCATCGAAAATGCATAGAAGGGTGAAAAAAGTAAGAGATTCCTTCGCAATTTCAGAGTGTAGTCCAATTACTGAAGGCTGCAAGGAGCCATTCCGGAAATACTTTCTGAGTTGCTGTTCAGACTCTAGCATAAGTCTCCAAGTCTATTCTTGCAATTTGTGGGATCACATACTGACTTTTCTCAGTTACACGGAAATGAGAGCTCCCAATATATTCCAGAACAACTGGGGGGTTGACCACATCCAAACCTCTTTCACTGATCTGTGTGTCCTTTT